CATGAAAGTTTATGGGATGTGATTTTACATTGAAGTCACCAGGGGGTGTTTTTGCATGAAACCCTAGGGGCCATGATTTTGCAAGAATGTTTGCGAGACACGATTTTACATTGAAGTCACAAGTGAGCATTTTTGCATTACAGTCTATGGGGACATGACTTTGCATGAAAGTCTATGGGATGCGATTTTGCACTGAAGTCACAAGGGGCTTTTGCATAAAAGTCTATGGGACGCAACTTTGCATGAAAGTCTATGGGAGGCAACTTTGCATGAAAGTCTATGCGCTGCGACTTTGTATGTGAGTTGCCTTGACACATTTCTTTTATAATAAAAACAGAGAAGCCATTATTGGCACCATTATCGGCATGTTTTTTTCCTATCTGAAAAATGCCAATAACATTATTTTTGGCCGATATGATTCTGCCTCCGATAAATCAGTGCATCCCTAGTGGCTACGTTCCTACATACAGGGGGACCAGACAATGAACATACTTTACCTTCTTTTTTTTTTTCTAATGGTTGAACTGGATGGACTTTTGTCTTTTTTCAGCCAGAATAACTATGTAACTATGTGACTACAACAGGAAGTCAGATCACAGCAGCAAAAAAAAAAAAAAAGAAAAAAAAAAAAGTATTTGGCGATTTGGAGGAGGCTGAGTGCAACAGAAGGGACTTTTGTGAGTTTTAAATACACATTTGAATAGAATATTTTTTAAACCAGAGTTTGGTGTCACTGTAACTTTTGGCACACAGGCAAGCAGCATTTTCAGAAGGGGTGGTAAGCAATGTTTCCTTCAATTTGATCATTTGTTCCCCTGGAAAGTTCCATAAATGTATTTTAACCCCTTGACACTGATGTCACACAAATATGCGGCCTCACAGAACTGGGCTTTTTTCCGTGGGGAGACATATTTGCATACCTTTATTTGTGCTGCGAGCGCACCGCGCAGTGTGCTCCTAGCACAAAGACCGGGGTGTCACTGAGAGCCCCGGGTCCCGTTCTAACAATCAGGATCCGGGACTCCCGATTCTGGGTCACATAATTGCTGTGATAGCCTTTGATTGGCTATCACAGTGATCAGTCACTGTACAGTCCAGCCCCCTTGGTTTTTGTTTCTCTATGAATGATACATTGTATCATTATATACATTATATTATACATTGTATCTCTCTAACTCCTGGCACGGAACAAAAACAGAGATAAATAAATATTAAAAAAGAAAAGAAAATACAGCAGATCAAGGTTTGATCTAGTTCAGTGCCAGGGTTAGTGTTTGGCTAAAGGTCAAAGGTCAGGATTTTTTTTTTTTTTATTAGTATTAGTGTCTGGGTCAGTGTGTTTTAGGTAAACATAACACAAAATGCGCACTATTGTTTCTGGGCTGTACTACGGGTACATACAACAAATAACATACACATATATGGTATCGCTGTGATCATCAAGAGCTGGGAAATGTATTTTAGGTTGTTTTTTGGTGGTAGGTTATGGTAGTAACAAGAAACACACAGCTAAATTTTAAAAAATTATTTTTGTTTACTATTTTGGCCCAGTTTTCCTTTGACAATAAAAAAAATCAGAGATATCCATTACCATTTGCCAACAAATGAAATCCCAATTTGTCCTGAAAAAAACGCGGTATAATTCACCCGGATGTACAAAGTAGTTGTGATGATATGTATGGTTTTACTAACACATGTCAACGTTGCAAAATTGTGCTTAGGCATTAAGATTTGTTTTACCCTTAGGTGTGAAGGGGTTAAAGTGGGAGTAAACTCTCTTGGTTGAATTTTACCTATAATAAGGCTTCCCTATAGGTATGGTAGATATTTACTCTGGCAGCAGCTGGTGACGGAATGCGTAGGAGTGACGTCATTGCAGCTCAGCCATTCACCGCCAAAGCCCACATACCTGGAAGGAAGACCTCAAGAGAGAATGTCCAGATGACAAAACGCTGTGTCAAGGCGGACCAGGAAGTGACATCATCCCGCACATTACACACAGAAGTGACGTGGTACACCTGAGATGCAGGAACTCTATATGATTATGGAGTGAACATCCAAGGTTTTGGCATTCATCTTAGTGCTGGGCTAGTGCCTGGCTTGTGAGTAGACATTGTCTTAAAAACGTTTTAAGGTTTTCCACAATGGCAGTCTCCCTCTACTTCCTCCTGTATGTAATATACTAAATGTGGCTGGAAGACAAGTGGAACTTCCAGTCCTAGGATGTGGTAGATGGTGCCATATAAACCAAGCATAACCAGCGTATTATGACTTACCTGTTGTCAGGAATGGACTCGCCAATAGTGGTGGGACTCACCTGCCTTGTGGGTTGCAGTACCAGGACTGGCCAGCGGGTGCTCTCAGCAACCAGAGGCTCACTCCTGCAGTCAGCCAAAACACCTGAGGCTGATTACGGGAGGTGCATATAAGGAATGGTCAGACTTGCAATCAGGGCCTTGGTGTATGTTTTCCCAAGAGCCCCTGTACCTGCATCCTGTCTGATCCTGCTTTATTCCTGACTCTGATTGAACTCCGCCTGTCCTGACCTCTGCTATTCCTGACCACTCTCCAGTCTGCTCCTTTGGTACCTTGTCTGCCTAATTGTTCCTGACCCGGCCCGTCTGAATACGCTCTGCCTGCTCCTTTGTACCTTGCCTGCCCGTTTGCTACTACCCGGCCTGCCCGACTACGCTTAGTATTGTTCTTTTGTTATCTGTTGGGGGTTTTGGTTTGGTTTGATTGCACTGTGTTTATGTTTAGTCTTGCACTGCATTTATGTATTGTTTAGTCTCAAATAAATTATATTGTTTATACTATACCTGAAGCCTGCGTTTCCCTGTGTCAGTCCACACACCTCTGGTCATACCCGGAGCCCTGACACCTGTAGTGGGTGGCCATATTTACCTGCTGACTTCTCTGTGTTGGTGGTGGAGGATCACTGGAAAAACAGCACAAGAGCACATGGTTGTGTTTTTGAAGATTGCATGGAAGCACGATTTTATATGTAACTGATTGCACGGACACGTTATGTTAGCCACATGGTGGCACAGACCATACAATTTAGTGGCCTTTTCTTTATTTAAAATTTTTTTTTCACTTTTCCATGTTTTCCCTTTTTTTCTATTCATATATATTGATTGACAGCACTTTATTGTGCACACAGCGCTGTAAGGATTTTTTGATATTGGGAAAATAAAAGTTAGAACTTGCTGGGAGAAGAGATCAGAGTGAGCAGGTTGACCCTATCGGTCAATGACCATGCTGTATTGCTGAAATACAATGGAAGTATTTATTTATTTATTTTATTTATTACAGGTACTTATATAGCGCCGTCAGTCTACACAGCGCTTTACATATATATTGTACATTCACATCAGTCCCTACCCCTCAAGGGGTGTACAAGTCTAAGGTCCCTAACTTACATTCATACATACACATACTAGGGACAATTTAGACAGGAGCCGATTAACGTATCATCATGTCTTTGGAGTGTGGGAGAAAATCAGAGTACCTGGAGGAAACCCACACAAGCACAGGGAGAACATGCAAATGCCAGGCAGGTGGTGCCGTGGTTTGGATTTGAACCGATGATCTCTAGTACTGCCAGGCAGAAGTGCTAACCGTTTAGTCACTGTGGAAGTAAAGTAAAATCACTGGTCCAGCTGTGCTGTGAAATAGTGGGTCTGGATCAAGAGGCTGGCTGCACCTATAGGCAGCTCCCATATTTATTTATTTGTTCATTTATTTCAGGTACTTATATACCCCCATCAATTTACATATATATTGTACATTCACATTAGTCCCTAACCCTCAAGGGTGTAAAATTAAGGTCCCTAATTTACATTTCATACATACACACATACTAGGGACAATTTAGACAGGAGCCAATTAACCCACCAGCCTGTCCTTGGAGTGTGGGAGGAAACTGGAGTACCTGGAGGAAACCCACGCAGGCACATGGATAACATGCAAACTCCAGGCAGGTGGTGCCCTGGTTGGGATTGGAACCAACAACCCTAGTACTGCCAGGCATATACCATTTGAAGACACCTACCACCATTAATGACCTCAGTGTGAACATGCTAATTGCCTGGCTGTCTCTGGGGGTGAGTCACTGACATGGAACAAGTGAGAAGAATGGGATATTTAAAGCCATATCTCTGCATGTAGTTCCTGGACATCAGCATAGAAAGTGTTGAAGCCTTTGGATCAGCCCGGGAACTAGCATTTTTAGAAGAGGAGGTCAGAGTAATGGCAGCCCCCACATATGTCTATCTGTACAGAAATTCCTCCTCGAAACTAGACTGAGCCAAATTCTCTGCGACTCTCTACCCTTGTTGTATATAAGCGTCTCTTCTCCAGTCTGGGAATGCTTATGTCACTCCTGGCACAGATGAGTCTCAGATAACACTTCTCCCAGGCTCTTCCAGAATTTCTACAAATCTCCTCCAACAAACATGTCATTGTCCTGCAGGAAAAATGAGGACCCTCTAATCCCGATGACAGATTGCTGTAAACACAGGTGTCCAGCAGATGGCGGTATTTACTCAGCTAACTCCCATTTGCGGCACTCGCAGCCTGCGCCATGTCACCCCTTAATCCTTGTTTGAAGAAAGTTATCAGCAACTTTTTGTAAAAAAAAAAAACATAAAGACACGCAACAGATCTTTAGGTGACCCACGAATCTTCAGCTGCTGTGGAACCGCAAGCCTTAGCATGTCCTGCATTTAAAGTGTTACTAAAACCCAGGACCCCCAGCATTCACTATATCTGGTCTCCCCGGACCCTGCATTCACTATATCTGGTCTCTCCGGACCCTGCATTCACTATATCTGGTCTCCCCAGACCCTGCATTCACTATATCTGGTCTCCCCAGACCCTGCATTCACTATATCTGGTCTCCCCGAACCCTGCATTCACTATATCTGGTCTCCCTGGACCCAGCATTCTCTATATCTGGTCTCCCCAGACCCTGCATTCCACTATATCTGGTCTCCCCGGACCCTGCATTCACTATATCTGGTCTCCCCGGACCCTACATTCACTATATCTGGTCTCCCCGGACCCTGCATTCCTATATCTGGTCTCCCCCGGACCCTGCATTCACTATATCTGGTCTCCCCGGACCCTGCAATCACTATATCTGGTTTCCCCGTACCCTGCATTCACTATATCTGTCTTCCCAGACCCTGCATTCACTATATCTGGTCTCCCCGGACCCTGCATTCACTATATCTGGTCTCCCCGGACCCTGCATTCACTATATCTTGGTTTCCCCGTACCCTGCATTCACTATATCTGTCTCTCCAGACCCTGCATTCCCTATATCTTGTCTTCCCAGACCCTGCATTCACTATTTTCTCATTAGCAGTTAGAGTAGTCTTGTGACTTCTATCAGTGTCCAGCAGAGCACTTGATAAAGCTTGTAGGAGGAGTTTTCATTCTGCTCTAGGAGGATGCAGAACCCCTGACCTCTGTCTGTACAGTGCTGATTGGCTCTGTGCTGATCACATGTACTCTCCCAAGAAAAAAAAACCTCTCTAGCAATACACCCAAAAATGAGCATGTGCAGAGTGTCTCCACACGATATGTCTTACCAGGAGATGAGAGGGGGGACACTGGAAGAAGGGGAGGATCAGAGAGTAAGGATCAAACATTATTTTTACACAAGGCAGAGGATTAACCCCTTAGGTTCCACAGTGAGTATAACAAGCGTGCTTTACTGCATCTACAGACTGATTGTACTGTTGTGGGTTTAGTAACACTTTAAATGCATTAGGGGTAATACAGAACTGCACTTATTTAAAGCTGAACTCCAGGCACAACATTTTTCCTTTAAATAGATTATTCAGTAGCCACAAAGGATATAAAACCACTTTGTCTGTATTTAATGTCCTTGAAAACCTGGATATTACCTTGTAAAAGTATCAGAGACACCATCACCGCAGTACATAGGGGTTGATTTACTAAAGGCAAATAGACTGTGCACTTTGCAAAGTACAGTTGCAGTCTGGAAGTGCAGTTGCTCCAGAGCTTAGTATATGAGCAGAAGCTGTGCTGACTTCCATCATCCAATCATATACAAGCAAAAATGCTGTTTTTTGTTTCCTTTCATGTGATTGGGCATTCTTGCAAAGTGAAGCCTTTACCTCATTCACTAAGCTCTGGAGCAACTGTACTTACAGAGTGCACAATCTATTTCCCTTTAATAAACCAATCCTATAGTGTGAGAGGAGCTCTGGGAGGGGCCCAACAGACTCCACCCACTACAGGCTGCCTACAGGCAGGAGGCGGAGACAAGACTAGTCACCCTGCACAACCAGAGAGAGCAGCAGTGCCTGGTCTTTATTACAGGAAGCTCCGGCACAGAGGGAACGTTTTACACTAAATTACAGCACAGATCTGGAGGAAATACATAAAGCACACCAAGATTCAAGTAAGGCTCACCATACATGTTACAATCTGATCATACAATCTTTGTACAATCCACCTTAGATTTATCAAAACTATAAATGTAATATGAGGGCCTACCTGAACTATCCAATCAATCTGTAGCTACTCGGGCAGGCCCCTACACTACATAGTTGTTGGTAGATCTAAAGCAGATTGTACAATCAAATTGTAACTTGTGTTCGGAGCTTTGGAATATACATTCCTCTTGTATTTAGACAATATTTGCATATCCCAAAGTTCAGCTTTCATTTATCAGAGGTACTTATACTTATGCAGCACTTTACATATATATTATACATTCACATCAGTCCCTAACCCTCAAGGAGTGTACAATCTAAAGTCCCAATCACATTCATACATACACATACCTATTAAACAGTTAACCTACCAGCATGTCTTTGGAGTGTGGGAGGAAATTGGAGTACCCGGAGGAAACCCATACAGGCACAGGGAGAACATGCAAAATCCAGGCAGGTGGTGCCATGGTTGGGATTCAAACCAACAACCCTCGTACTGCCAAGTGGAAGTGCTAACCACTTAGCTACTGTGCTGCCCCACAATGGGCACTGAACAGGAGGCTCCCTATTGTGCAGTTATGTAACAAGTAAAAATAGAAGACAGGAGAAATCCCTTTACAAGGACAGTAGTGTCAATCACTGGGCACAGTTCTCCGATACAGCCGGAACGCTTACCTGGCAATTGAGGGAGCACCTATCACTGGAAGGGTGCACCAATCCCAGGGTTGTCACCTTCTGATCTGTAGAAACCCAGGACAAGTCTTTAGTCTACACTAGAGGTAGGCAACCTTGGCACTCCAACCAGGGCCCTGGATAAGGGGTACCACCAGTCCTCCTGTACGGGGCCCAGGCCAGCAGAGGGGCCCAGGCATCTGGATGAAGCGGATGTGGGCAGGGAGGGTGATCATTACAACGGGGGGAACAATTACTGGAATTGATCCCCTGTATGGCTCTCTGCAGCAGCTGAAAAGCTACCTTCTTCTCCTCTACCGCCTGCTGGCTTTCAGCTGCTGTAGAGAAAGCCAACAGGGGATCAGTTCCAGTAATTGTTCCCCCCAGCTGTCACATTCACCAGCCCCTTTCATTCCTGAATGAACACAGCGAGTGATCGGTACCAATCACTCGCTGTGTTCATTCATAATTGAAGTGTAATAAAAATGTGTTTTTTTTTATTTTGACGGGGGAGGCCCTGTCAGGTTAGTTGTATGGGGCCCTGCGGTTTCTAACAACAGCCCTGACACCAACTACAAATCCTGTCTTGTCTCTGTGAGTCATGCCTGTGGCTGTTAGTCTTGCAATGCCTCATGGGAATTGTAGTTCCAAAACAGCTGAAGTGTCTACACAGAGCTATTAAATAATAATACAATCTTACAGTAATATACAATGTAACAATTATAACAAAAGTATGACTGGTGATGAAGTCAAACCGGGACTTTCAATGTTACAGGTATAAAAAGGGATGCTAGCGTGGCGGGATTACACGCAATAGTAAGTGGCAAGTGTGTCCTATTACTGATAGGGGGCACACATGTGACGGGCCAGTCCAGAGACCGATAATCAAGATGGCAGACAACAGTGCTAGTGCTTGCATGGAGCAATGGTGGTGATGACATTTCTTGTGAACGAAGGCAAAAAACCTGGGGACATCTACAGAAGACTTCAAGCACAGTGCAGGATGAGACGCTCAGCCGCAGTAAGACATTTGAATGGTGTAAACGTTTTGACGATGGCTGTACGTCCATCAGTGGCGATCCCGGCTGTGGTGGTTCCCAGCCAGGGGCGGACTGACCATTTGGAAACTCGGGCACTGCCCGGGGGCCCAGGGTCAGTAGGGGGCCCCATGAGATGCCCCTGGTACATTTTTCATAGGCTTTTTTGAGTTTTGGCAAGGAAACAGGGGCCCCATGATCCCCTATTGCCCAGGGGCCCCATGAGTTGTCAGTCCGCCCCTGTTCCCAGCCCATAGCAGTCATTCCTGTGAACATTCACTGCATGGAACGCCTGATCATGGATAGTCGACACATCAACCTGGAAAGAAATTGCACGAGATGAATCTTTCTGTGGGAATGGTGAACACATTCATCCACGATTGTCCTGGGATGGTTCAGGCGTACTGACAAATCTTTCTATGCCGAAGCTTTACAGGCATTAGTTAAATGCTGGCATAAGTGAAGCAGGGGAGTATGTCAAAAAATAAATGCAGTTTCCACTCCTTGAAATTTGTTCTTTTATTATATAAACTCAAAGTCCCGGTTTGACTTGAATGCCCCTCATATTTCTGAACGTGGTCTTCAAATATTGATTGCAGGCTTTATTCACAACTAAGCTGCTGCTAACACTCCTGGAAGACAGAGCTGCACATGACTGGCACAGCACCATTTTGAGGAGGTCTGGTGGGCTACATTTAAGAACGAGACAATGATTATGAAAAACTGGATAGATGGCAACCCTGGTCAATCTTTGTGGCATGACATAAGGTAAGTGTCCATCAGCTGCTGCCTCATGCTGGAGTGGTAGTTCCAGTGGCACTGGACTGGCTACCTTATCCTTCTTGTCCTGCCCAGGTCAGCCCAGACTGGTGAAGGTCATCTTACAGGCTGGGACACTTATCCACACATGGCTTAACAGCCTGACAAGTGCAGTGAGCTTTATAGAGAACCAGACAGAAATTAGCATTTCTTCGGACAGTGGTTGTCAATTTATGAGCTAAAGAGGACCTCAAATGCGGCTTTTGGTATCAACTAAAAGGCCGCACATAACGCTCAATATACACTCATCGACCTCTTTATTAGGTACACCTGTTCAATTGCTTGGTAACACAAATTGCTAATCAGCCAATCACATGGCAGCAACTTGATGAATTTAGGCATCTAGATGTGGTGAAGACAACTTGCTGAAGTTCAAACTGAGCATAAGAATGGGGAAGAAAGGGGATTTAAATGACTCTGAATATGGCATGGTTGTTGGTGCCAGATGGGCTGGTCGGAGTACTTCAAAAATTGCTGATCTACTGGGATTTTCACACACAACCATCTCTAGAGTTTACAGAGAATGGTCTGAAAAAGAGAAAATATCCAGTGAGTGGCAGTTGTGTGGATGAAAATGCCTTGCTGATGTCAGAGGAGAATGGGCAGACTGGTTGCTGCAACATTCAGATGGTAGGGTCAGAATTTGGCGTAAACATCCTGAAAGCATGGATCCATCCTGTCTTGCATCAATGGTTCAGGCTGCTGGTGGTGTAATGGTGTGGGGGAGATTTCCTTGGCACTAGCAAGGTGTACATAATAAAGTGGCCATTGAGTGTATGTAATGCTGGAGAAGACTGTAAGAAACCCAATAGAGGAATGATGGTCAGAGAGTGTGGACAGGATACATTGTTGGCTGGGGAAATGCTGCAGAAGACAATACGAAACTGGGAACATGTTACATGAGGCTAGTAGAGATCAATGCTATTACCCTAATCAATGCTCCCATTACAGGCTGCTGAGATCAAAGGGCCGCCCATCATCACCAAAGGGCTGCATGTGGCCCTTGGGCCATAAATTGGGCACTAGAGTCTTAGGATCTCCATTTTTGGATTATTATATTAGTGCAGCCTTACCACTCAGAAATAGTGATATTCACTTGTATTACATGGTTCGAATTCCGAAGGATTTTTCATCCGCAAATCGAAAACGTAGTTCACTCGGTAATCCAATGGTGCCATGAATGATATAAAAAATCAGCTGACCAAGTCATAAAGTTCACCCCATATAACAGGCGCAACTTCTGTTCCTTCCAGGTCACGGCTCATGGGTATATTCTTTTTGGAAAAACAATCACGATTTGACCATCATTGAGTCGAAAATCGGTAGTTTTTCACGAATTTTCCAACATGCCCAATCACCGAAAAAGGGATGAACCACGAAAATCGGCCAGTGCCATTGACCAACTAAGAGTGAAAATTGGCTGATTATTCTTAGGTCCAATTTTCGGATGAAAA